GTACACATTGTTGATGACATGTAATTAATGGGTACACATTGTGATGACAATTCATTAGGTGAGTACACATTGTGATGACTAGTCATTAGTTAGGTACTCATTATGATGACAAGTCATTGGGTGAGTACACATTTTGATGACATCTAATTATTCCGGTACACATAGTGATGACATGTAATTATTCCGGAACACATTTTGATGACATGCCACTAGTTGGGGACAAATTAATTATTAGCTGGGTCCACATGTGGAATTATTGAAATTTGTTTCATCTATTTCCATCTATGACAGTGTTGCCATCACCTGGTAAAAAGTAGTAATACAATACATGTGTTTTCTGGGATCTTCATTAAATTTGACCTGATTGAATTTTAAACTAATACGTCCTTGTTCACAGATCTTTCCTGTTTATATTTGTCACCATTTAATACTTCAGATCACACTGAATTAAATAATATATTCACATAGGCACACAAGAACAATGTGTTCGTGTTGTGGATCACTTAGAGCGTATCATTCGTGTCAAGGCTAACATGTTAAACCGAACAAGTAAAACGAGAAGAGTACCAAGGTATGTTATACTTTGATTTGAAATAATAATTTTTACAGAAACTTTTCTGTATGAATAATATGCTTTGTTTTTCTATGGTAAGTATACAACGGGGAGACCTGAATACAAGTTACTGATTTTATAACTGTATGATTCCTGACAAATACATTTCCTTGAGTTGGTACTCAGGCAAAAAAGAGAATATTCGGTGTCACTCATTATACTTTGCAATTTTATAGAATAATTGTTAAGTCAGAAATATTCTGTGGGCACATCAGTTATAAGATTTATAGCCAATTATGCAGTCTTTGCTATTTCTTTTGTCTTTTATTTTGTGATATATTTATTTCTCTATTTTCCATCTTTTTGTCAACAGAGATTTTAACCGAGATGATTGCCCTACATTGAGCCATGTTGTGACGTGGTTGTTGTTGCAATGTGGACGATTGCAAACTGAATGTAGACATCAGTGTATGATATTAGTGTGTAAACTCATACCACTTCTACCAGGTAACAAACCATGCCCTGTTAATGATTTGAACTTTTGGGCAAAAATATATCAATCCCCTGATGTTCTAAACAAAATAATTTTCCAATTGGGGGTCCTCGAATTGATAGCGTGTGCTCTCTCATCGTTTGTGCGCTTGTGCATATCACGTAACCTGGGGTCAACAAACCAGAAGGTAGGACAGATTTTGAACGTTCCAAATACGCAGAGTCGAAGTGCACCGAACATCACATTTTCCAACTCGCAACATAACAATTCACCTAAAATAAAACTCAAAACCATCTTTCAACTAATTCGTTCCAGCCTCTGAAAATTTGCACACTATCCTGCCTAAGCAAGAATAGCGAGCATGCAAATTATCTTTTGCTATAGCGTAATATTTTTATATTTTTTGCGGGTATTTTGGGAGTTGAAAAACTATGTCATTGTCATATTTTACACTGTGAAACACACGTACCATATTTCAGTTTATTTTCTTTGAAAAATCATTTTTTCAACTGGAAATCCAAGTTTCTCATCTGTCTTAAATAGTTCTTCTAGCTGCCCTTCTCTGTACCCACCAACACTCAATTCGCTATCTTAAAAAATTATCTTTTTAAAATATGCCGCTGGTTCCTTTCGTGTTGCATGTCATTCTTTTAACTTTTTATATTTTTGTAGGTTACGCATGTGCAAATAAAAATACATTGCGTCTGGCGCTAATTAGGAATTACTTGTAAAATACAACTTTTCTCAGTGTTGGTACAGCTTGGAGATGTTTTATTGTAATCCTGTAAGCTGCAATAACAACAAACGCAATATACAGGGTATAGTGTCTTGCTTTTATGGGATTGTGTCTGTGGTTTCTATTGTCTTGTATTGATGTTATTTTTAGGTAACAATAGTGCTAGTACCTGGATGCATAGGACTATGGCAGAAAAGGGCAGAGGACCAGATTATTTTATAACTAGGTGAGTACTACAAACAGTCATAAAATTGACTTTATATTGGAAGAACTTACACAAACATGTGTTGAATAATTCATATTTTAATGATTCATAATTATAATAAATGCAATTGTCTATTTATTTGTGCTTGTATTGTATTTGCATATTTAATAAAACAGATATGATATTAATTTGTTGCCATCTCATTGCAGGTTTGAAGGTGGTGGTGGCAAAGGTGGACATAAAACCGGCATCTCAAAGCATCCTACACTGAACACAGTGGACAAGACATTCAGCGTCAAAGTCGCATCAAATTGGTTTGATTTATTTTTGGCAGCTTTAGATTGTTATACTTGGGTGTTTGGTGAGAAGTTACTTGGACCAATTGAATTGTTTGCTGGTAAGCATATTAAGAAGTTTATCTATTTAACAATTCTTCCTGATCTCATTTGAAATTACAATATCTGAAAGTTCTGTAATTTCTTCAGTCAAAGAAATAGAATTTAGAAGTCATCTTCAATATTAAAATACAAATGTATATATACATGTAATGTATTTACTCTATCATAAGTGTATCTCTAATAGATATAAACTTTGTGTATCCAGAATTATTAAGATATTTTTGATTGTGATCATTGTAATTTATTTAAGAGCATATACTGTACTTTTCCATATATTTGACACACATTGCCATACATGCATTATTGAACTGACACCAGTTTTTGTTGGCAAAAAAGGCTTACTTAATGGGAACAATAAGAACTGGCCATTCATTCATTCATCCATCCATTCAATCGTTCGTTCGTTCCTTCGTTCGTTCGTTCCTTCGTTTGTTCATTCATTCATTCATTTATTCATATCAGAAATAGGTCGTACAGGTGACCAGCACCTATAGAGTTGAGCAACCTTCCACATGCAATTCACACATTTTGTATTTACATTTGTATGCCATATCAAATAAACACATTCATATCACATAATCTACAACATGTGCTCTTTTATAATCACATGCACTTTATTAATTGGCCTTTTAAATAACTTGTTTTGTGTACTCAAAACATTTTAAAACTTAAAACATCTTTTTTGCACCTCAGCTGTTATGTGTTTCTAAAATAACATTTATGTTAAATCACTCTATATCTGTAGGTAAAGCTAACAAACCAACCAATGTCTTCAAGTCTGTGGATTTCTTCTTATCAAAGCTGGCACTAGAAGACGTCTATGCGGCAGCTAAATGTATTACGTCGTCAAGCGCTGGTTTGATTTTCACTCCAAGAGAAATAGATGATTATAATAAATATAAGTGTACAGCTATTGTTAGACTATTGGATTTTATATCAGTACTACTGGCTGTACATACAAAAGATCTCTCCAAGGTATTGATGGGTTACAAAAGATTACATACATCTCATATTCAGAGGCGGCGGCAGCTTTTTTTGACTGTGGGGGCAAAGATTTTATGTGAATGTCAACAAATCGAGCACCGATGGCGCCTTGGGTCGTGGCGAAGGCGTGACCCATTTTGGGGGTTTCGGGGGCATTCTTCCCTGGGAAAATTTTGAAATCTAGACCCTCTGAAATGCTGTTTCCTGCATTTTGGGGAGCAAATGTTGATGGTACACTTAGGTATTTCTCTTACAAATATAGATGAGTGTTTCACCTTATTTTATCGTGGGGGCGACCGTCTCCACGGTGCCGCCGCCACTGATATTCTAATGAAGTGTGAAGTGATTTAAACATTATGCGCAACATACAAAACAAACTCACTTTCTTCATAATTTGTTTTGTATTATTCACATACTTGTCTTTGCGTTCTATAGAGCATTCCATTGTCATTTTGGAGTACCAATCTGTTTGAAGTGATAGTCAGTTGTGTATTGGATCCATCATCTGTTGGGTTTGATCTGGCTGACATTGAAGTAATTAGCAACCTACCCAAAACAGTAAGTACACTATAAGCTGTAAGTAGATTACCTTCAAATGTAAATTTGATCTTTATTCACTTGTGAAAATACTTATTATATGATTGTATAAGTGCAATCACATGGTGTGTCTAACAAAAATATAAATTATGTGATTATGTTTTTCATGCCAAAATATGATGACTAACAAATCTGAACTATTGACAAATGGAGATTACATGACCACATGACCTTTTCATTTTCTGACTGAAATCATAATTTTTTGTTTTGTATGAGAAATTGTAAAAGAGGAAAAATTTGTTGAGAATTTAATTGGCTTTGTTGAGATGAAACACTGGTCATTTTTCTGTTTTCAAGGATCAATGTTTTAGTTATGCTTGATCATTATAATATTCTGTTGTTTCAGACTGGTCAGCTGTTGATGTTTATGACTCAGAAAGCTCCTGGTAATGTGTCATCAGAAATGAAGAAATGTCTGCAGGAAAAACTCAAACCAAAAAGGTGAATTTAGCTTGTCAATTAATTACATGAATTGCTCCCATCAGACGGAACTGGTCGAAACAAAACAGACCAAACCTAATGAGATCAGAATTAACTTGACCTGAGCAGACTGGACTGAACCAGACTAGACCGGACCTGACCTGGCCTGATCGACTCAACCTACCTAGACCTAATTAAACCAGAATTTCCCAACTAAACTGGACTGGATTGGATCAGACTAGACCACACCTGACTTGACTTGACCAAGCCTGATTGACCTGACCTAATTAGACCAGAATTAACTTGACCAGATCAGACTAGACTAGACCAGATGTGACCTTATCAGTTCACATCTAGACACATCCTCAACCAACTCATCTACATGTATAACCTACAAAACCAGCCCTGACCTGACTAGACCGGACAAAACCAGACATAATTAAACCTGACATGCAGATTTGTATATTGCCAAGGTTATATAAGATTAGAATATGCAAGGGGTGTAATATGAGCTTACATGTGAATTGAAGATGTCACACAAATTGCAATATTGTCACAAAATGGCAAGAGCAAATTTATTTCTAGAAATTCTAATGCAAATTAATGTGTCTGCGGAACAATAGGTTTTCATTTCACACTGTTTTTAGTACATGTCCTTGTATTTTCACAAAGCGTATAATATGTAAGTTTTGCATTTTTGTATGCAGCAATAATTTTGCTTATTTCTGTTTACACTATCAGACATTTCCAAGCATTCTGCATTGTGTTCTGTGATGTTATTGTTTAGAACTATGTTTCATTGACACAGACACAAATGAACTGCTTTCAAACATTTTGCAAATCGTGAGAGTTGGCTTCTCGTGAGATCTTTATCGCATCATACATGGTTATGAAAGTTGCATACCCTTTTCTTATGAATCTAGTTGAAAGAGTGAATAAATTATCTAGTGCAATGTTTACAAATTTTGACAAAAGTTAATTTGAACTGTCTAAGAGTTTCTTATTTTCTGATAGTCATATGCATTTGATGAATATCACTCCATCAATACTGAAGGGTGATGATAAAGGAATCAATTATGTGAAATTGACACACATGGTATCTGGTTATGAACAGCTACACAAAGCCAATTTGCTTCTACCTGCCTTGCAGAAAACGGTAAGCTATTTTATTTTTAATCTTGTGGTTGAAATCCAATATGGCGTATTTTACAGTTAAATCTTTTGAGTTAGCTCATTTTAAAGTAAATTTATTGTTCAGGGATCTCTTGGATTGCATGGATGGTTTTCTCAACTCGTTGAACTATCTAAGATGTCAAATCATTCACCTTCTCCACCAATAGCCAAATATGTGCTTCCAGAAAACATGGCTGCTCAGTGTTACCACAGTCTAAACACTGTAAGAATTGATGCAATGTTATTAGGGGAAAAGGTTCTGTTTGGTTTGTGGTCTCTCTGGATGTTCTTGTCATATTTATGAGGATTGGTCAGCGGAAGCGTGGGACGATGATTCCACTGGTTCCAAGCATATTTGTGCGTCAAGTAGTGCACAGGACACTATTAAAGTCAGAAGCTAGTGAAGTGACTTTGTGACGATATTTCCCTAAACCTGAAGTTCTTGTGTGTGATCCAGATACCTTGTCACCTCTCATTCCAAGTGTGATCATAGAGAACTGACAACTGGTATTTTGGAATGTCGGTATGGTTTTTTTTGGGGCATTTGCCCAGTCAAGAGAACTGTCTCCTATGTTTGTCATGTGTCATTTGGTTTACAAGATACTATTTTTCAGTTTCATAGTTTCAGGTAGTAGTACATGTAGGTGATACATGTCAAATAGTTCTACTTGTTTGCTTCTAGTAAATGCCAACCTCCATTGTTAAAATGAAGCTACACTTTCTGTGATTAGCTCTGCCGTCGTCTGTCGTCGTCCATGTCAATGTTTTACTTTTTCGACTTCTTCTTGAAAACTACAAGCCTGAATTCTTTGATACTTGGTGTATATGTACCTTGGGTAGACCGCTCTCAGATTTGTTCATTTCATGATGATATCTTCAATTCTCTAAATTTGGTGAATATTTTTAGCTCCGCTGTCGACTTTGTCGAGCGGAGCTTATCATATGAGTGATTGTCCGTCGTCGTCGTCTGTGTCAATGTTTTACTTTTTCGACTTCTTCTTGAAAACTACAAGCCTGAATGCTTTGATACTTGGTGTATATGTACCTTGGGTAGACCTCCCTCAGATTTGTTTATTTCATGATGATATCTTCAATTCTCTAATTTTGGTGAATATTTTTGTCATTTTTGGTAAAATGTTGTATTTTCGACTTCTTGTTAAAAACAGCAAGTCCAATTGCTTTGATATTACATATATAGGTACTACATGTGGACCTCTCTCAGATTTGTTCATTTTGTAATGATATCTTCAATTCTCTAATTTTGGTGAATAATTTTTTTAATTATTGGTAAAAAGTGACATTTTTGACTTCTTGTTGAAAACAGCAAGTCCCATTGCATTGATACTATACATATTGTTCATTTTCTAATGATATCTTCTGTTCTTTAATTGCAATGTGCATTGCTAACAGCGGAGCTATCTCAGCCGACAGGCTGCTTGTTGATCTAGTGCTTCTACTCCATGTGTAATTAATGTTTTTCGAAAAACATCAAGCAGCCCCTTTTCTTAAAAAAATGCCTTCTGGTGAAATGTGTTAGTGTCCCACATATTTTATAATGTAAACTTTACTTTAGTGGCAGGTTCAAGTGATAACATACATTCTGTTTCTTCAGGGCATGGCTTCTGGTGACAAGTTCTCCCAACAGTTACTGACTGCTGTATTTGAGAGTATTTCTACAAAGCAAAGCAACTCATTAATTGTATCACATCTGTCTCCTACTGCACATGAACTTGCAGTACGGTTATTGGACCTTGCATTCCTATTGGCTAGTCAGGTAATGATATGTTAATTTATTCATAATTAGGTACATGTATTGTTGTGCATCTGCATTCATATTTGTATTTGCATTCTTGCTTATTCTGTTAATTTGCCTCATTTATCTTCCAGCGAAAAAGCAAATATAAAATCATGCTAACATTTATGCCATATACACTTTTGTGTTTTAAAATTGTGAAAGATTTTGTATGGTATGATTGAACAAGTACTCGAACCAGTACTGTACTTGAATTCATAAATATAAAACATTTATTTGAACTCCTCTACATTATATTCACTGAATTTATTTTAACCTAGTCCAAAGAACTTGTCAGCTGTTTGATGAACAAGACTCCTGTGAAGACTGGTAGGGTGGATAGCTCTGCAGGGTATTGTGGTCTGTCGTTTTATAGTCATTTCAAAGTACCCATCAATACACAGTTAGCACAGCATGGCCAGGAGGTTGTGCCATTGTTGCTACGTCATGTTGTTGCTGACTCCACCATTGTTAGTACCATACTGAATGGGCTGTTGGATCATATCACAAATAACAGAGAGCTGAGGAAGAAGTAAGCAATATTCCTATCACTTGATTTACTGATTGAAGTACACTATATATATTACGAGAATACCTCCACAGTTGCAGTATAATAATATTGTTTATATAGACCAATATGTAGCAGAGTCAAGAAAGAACAACAAGAAAGAAATTCATGACAAATTAAACAAATCTGTAAATGTTTGTTCTTTTTATGGACTACTATTCTATTGTTTCACAGCCAGATGTATAATACCTAATATTAAATTTAACTAGACTATTTCTAGTATTGTCAAAATTGCTGCAACCATAGACTCTCTATAGACTGGTCTGAAAACGAACTGAACAGTGCACATCACTGATAAATTATGTTTCTCATCTATCAGACAATAGCCATGCATATCATGTAACCATGGGCAACAAGCAGTTGTGAACAGTTAAAACAAAGGAGTCATAGCGTGTTGTTCGTTTCAAACACAGATCTACCCATTAGCTATTGCATTTTTATCATGCATTGTTATCGTCATTTCGACTCAATTCCTGCATGTAAGCAGGTCACAACCTCTCCACCTTAAAGAAATGTATGATGACATAAATTTTTAAAACAAAAATTAGTAATCCTTGTTAGTCCCAGTTCGAACGAAGTTCGAAAACGGGGACTTATAATTCGGTCTTCGTCCGTCCTTGCGTCAGTCCGTCCAGAGTCATATTTCAAAATTCTTTGGACTGACGAGCACAAAGAGAACTTTCAAAAATTTAACGGGGACTGAGTCATTTTCAATGACTTGTTGAATCATGAAGCCCACAAAGTATGAAACTTTGTCAAGATATCCAAACATAAATTTAATGATGTTACAATTAATAGTTGTTTGAGAAAAGTTGGTAACATTTTGTTCACAATATATCCATGGAACAACACAAATACTGTTCCTGAACTCTGCAACTCACAATTTTTGTGTTAGTTATTCAGTGTATGTTGGAATCACTAACATATGCTCTGTTGGTTTAGCACATCCTGGGCAGTATACAAACATTAAATGTCATACTTTGTTTTCAGGAAAGGATTAACTGTTCATGCTGCCATCCTATCAAATTGGAGTTCATTAAAATCATGGTGGAGTGAGGGTGCTACTCATGATCAAAGAAGTTCAACTCTAATTCTGCTCAAGAAATTACTTCAGATAGACTCAAAGGTGGGTTTTTAAAATTTGGTTATATGTGGTTATATGTGGAGAAACTCATAGCATAGCTGTTTCTTAAAAGGCAATAATCACAGTATGAACTGTTATTATTTACTGTTATTATGTAACCCCAGAATTTTTATTATTTTTATTATAGACAATATTTAATTGATATTGAAGTAAAAATTTAATGCGTTAAATCATACTTCGAAAGCACTGCATTCTGTAATTCTTATTCAAAGATATACGCTAAAGTCATAGATCATTGCTTACATGTAGCTATATTATTATGCCTGTTTTAAAATGCAAAACTCAGTTCAAATAATGGATTTTATTTATGTTTTAGTTTGCCTCTGATCCTACCCATGCTGCATTCAAGCCTGTTTTTGATATGTATCTGAATATGGTGACTGATTCCAACACATCTCTGGCATTCAAGAGTAGAGTTTTGGAAATACTCTACTTCTTTACCAGGATACCAGAACAAGAGTTATCTCTCTTACAGTAAGTCACCCATTTAATAGTGTTATTTTTCTAGACCTGTTCCAAGTGGCATAGACAGTACACTGCTGTGTTTGTTAATTTTACCCTAAATGGCTCTCTGGATCAAATATCATAAAGAATTGATGTCTATTGCACACACAGTTGTTTCCATGGAAACAATGAGTATTTTCGCCATAATGTCAAATCCTACTTTGGTGGCCATTTTGAATTGAAAATTGGTCAAAATGCATCCGAGGTTCATAATTTAACAACTAATTAGATTACTCCATTTCGTTTCTGCAAACTTTCAAATACAGAGAACAACTTTCATGAAATTCTTGTCATAAGTGTGTTAACTACATTCCTGCATGCTTAATATCAAGAGTTAGAACTTTAAAGCTGAACTCATGGCATCCATCTTTGTAGTAATATACTTTTGTACCATATAAAATGTTTTTCTTTCTCTTGTTATTCTAAGAGGGAGACTGAACAGACTGATTGCTGATAACTTTCCTTTGAAGTCTTCAGAGTTTGTTGTTGGAAGTCCCAAATACAATGATTATGTAGCCGCATTTGGCAAGGTAAAACTACATCTTTACAAGACAATATATTTATTTGCTTCCTGTGGGCACTGTACATTTTTGCTTTGTATAAGAGACTGTTTTTGATATTATCATTAAATTTATTTAACAAAATGGTGACTGTATATTATGTATTTTTTTTTTTTTTGGTTATTTTTTACACTTGCATGTTTGTTTTTTCACTTTTATAAATGACTGAACCTCTTTGCTGAATTCACTTTCAGATCTTGTCTGCATTGGTGATTTCTGGAAGCCTAATGTTACTGGAACTTTTAATCAGTATCATGTGTCGTGAACCTAAACATGTCTGTGAAGATCAGATACAGGCATCCTTGATTACATTTATTAAACAGTAAGTTGTTGCATTCCTTCTAACTGTCTTGTTTTATGATTAATCTGTGGGTAAAGGGCAGTGGTCATTGTGGAATGAACCTTTGGAATAAACAATACATTCTACAAAATGTGTATATTGAACCATCCTGATAAGTTCACTTGGTGAGTAGTGCTATAGGGTTATACTACAGGGTCTTATACTGCATCTTAAATCATCATGTGTATGAACGTGTCAAAGGAGGTATTGCCACCTCATAAACTAATGGGCACAAGAATACCACATCTATTGGCTAGGTGAAAACTGAGTGGTTATCACAGTAATACTTTCAGCAGATGATACTCAGTGTAGTGTAGTGGTTTTATCAGCATGCAGAGTAGAATAAATGTCTAACTGATGTATTCTCCTGCTGACGTTACCTCAAACACAAACAATTGCAGATACCAGATACCTAATTTTACCAGATGCCTAATTTGCCAAGTGGTCAGGTAACATAGTTTAAGCTTACTCTGGTAGATTATACATTGCTGACATTATCGTTATTCTGTTCTCATTTCTTACTAGTCTTCCTGCTGATAAACAGAAACCGGCCGTGGATGTGGCGTTTGACGTCTTTCACAAAGAGAACGTCTACCCAAATGACATACGCCGGGCGGCTTTAGAGAGAGTTGGTCTTCCTCTGTTGAGATTGGTCGACATTCCTACACTGAGTACATTCTTTATAAGTCATGTCAATCAAATAATGAATACTATTGAAGCCAAGCAAATTAAGGTTAGTTATTGTAATTATATACTGTGTGTTTATATTTTGTGTTTCCTCTGCATATGACATTAATCTTGAGAACTTGAGAATCAGTATCAAGCTTAACCTTTTTACAACCAGTGAACCGTCACAAATTCACAAAATTTTCCTGTTTGTAGTCTGCACTTTCTTTCAGAAAATTGGGACAAAAATAGCCCAAACTGACTCACATTTTGTCTGTTGGCTCCAAGATTAGAGTTCATTTCTAGAAAAACTGAAGAATAAAAGAAAAAAATGCAGAACAATTTGGTTGAGAAAATCTGGTGGTGAAAAGGTTAATTGTCACTCTCCAGTTGAGTGAAATGTTTTGGTTGTTCGATAGCAATTATACTCCTTGTATAAAATACCATTTTTGATAATTTAAATTAAAAAAATTAAAAATGCATCACAACTACTTGCATTTTTTGTTTGATTCATCACATCATTTTCAAATGCACTACTAGTATTCCAATTTTAAATTTAGTATAAATTATACTTGTACATGTTTTACAAATTTTTAGAACTGTTTTACTCACTTTCTCTCTACAGGTACCAGAGAGTAGTTTTGAAACACAACTGGTGTCTAAGATTGGATGTTTTGAATTGATGGAAGTATTGTATTCCAGGATGACTAAAGAAGAACTGAACACACCACAATCTAAAGTCAATAAAATATACTGTCGTGATTCAGTCAAGTCTGGTAAAGAAATGACGATGGCTTTGACAAAGTGAGAACTCTTCTTTTGTTCAGCATCTCTCAAATCTAGCGTATTTGCTATCTGTAATGCATACACTGAGCTATGTATGAATGCCTCAAAACACCGAATGTGACTGTATTTGCTACTAGATAAACAGGTAGCAAAGCTGAGACCAATGTTGAACCATCTCACAAAGTCATTCAAAAATCAAGAATGGTTCAACAGTGATCTCAAATCGCCTTTGCTATCTGTTCAGCTAATACAGTTGTGCTCTGTTTTTAGGTACTCGTACACAAAAGATACACTTGCGTAAATGACAGAGGTGAGTTTGTGGGTTAAGTAAGTCCTATTTAAATGATCCAATTTGCTTCATATAGAGTAAATTTCATGGAAATTTAGGTTGATGTTAATCTAATCCTGTCTTCACCATGGTATCAGATTATCCGTTGTAATTAAATAAACATAATTTATTTTATAATGAATCATACATGTACATAAATGTGTGTATATTGCAGGATTGCCCATGCTGCCAAGGGAGAAGACATCAGAGGTGAGAGTGTATTGGTAGAATTGCGTCGACAGTATCACTGTGCTGCCTACAATGCCTTGGTAGCTATCGTCTCCTGTACTCAGAATGACATCAAATTCTATAATGGATTTCTTTTTGCTGAGAATCATGCCAAGGTAATAATTCAAAAATCGTCATTTGTTTTTATTTTCATTATTGATCTGTGTAGTAGATTGTACTTATTGAGAATTGATTTGTTTTTAAAATAAAAATTGCTAACTCTAAATCTGTTTGACTGTTTTTACACTGTATTTAGGGTCAGTTTTTTCTTGACAATCTTGTTGACGCCGATAAAGTTTATCACTTTGAGATTGAAATGGAATCACCCATGGAACGCAAAAAGAAATTTGTTGCTATTCGTAAGGAAGTTAGGGATGCCAGTGAAGAGGATGACTTGCAGGACTCAGCAGTTGGTTTATATGGAACTGGAGGTCAGTTCCATTATTCATTTTACTAGTAGTGATTCGCAAGCATTTTTTTCATTATGGTGTATTCTAGCCTGTGTTTCATTTCAAACATAACAAATTATTGTGTTACAGTCAGAATTTTAGAAAAAAGTACAAGAAAAATCCAATTTGCATTCTTTTTTTTATAGGGGTTAAAAGGGAAATTTGTGTGCAGGCATTGTTTTTTAGAAATCAAATTTACCAGCAACTTTTTCCTTTGTCCTGCTTGTATGTAGAGTACATGTATGTATGTATCTACATCACAATTTGTATGTTTCCCAGATAATATATTTTTATTTTCTAGGTGTCAGATATCTTTCCTCACAGTATCTAGCTGACAGCAGTCTTAGTGAAGAAATCAGTCAGTTTGACATGAATACTGGCTGCCTTTACTGGCACATTGGATAAAGATAAAACAGCAGCATCAGGAAATACATCACAGGGTCCAAGATCAGCATCACCATTGGTATGTTGTAACATCCAGTCCAGTACTGGTGTGTTTAGCTTCCTTATTAACATTTTACCAGTACCAATAATTCTTGACAGGAATGGTATATTGTATCTGTAGTTATCTATTACAATTTTGTGTATAGTTATTAATGTATGGTAAATGCATTCCTAAAAGATAATTCTCGGGAATTTCACGCAAAAGTTCCTCACCACTTGTGACTTTAAACATGTCATCCCTTCAAAATTTGAATATTACTGACACTTTTAACAAAATATTAAGAATTATAACAATTAATGATACTTAATGTGATATCAGGTACAAGCATACTTATATAGTGATAGTAAATATTACCTGTCATTAATGTTTGACCAGTAATACATTGTCTTATACTATAGTCTGTACTGAACCATGCATATATACATTGAGAGTCTTTCTCTTGATTTGCTGTGGTCTTTCTGTTATCTAGTGTTGCTTTGTAATATAGAGATGTTACATTTTATTAGTACATTGTGTTTTTTTGTGATGATGGAATTTCAGACCAATCTTTGCATGTCAATCTTTGCATGTTGCATGTCTTACCACATTTTGTATTCTCTTTGTTACCAGCCACCGTCGGCTTTTGTGAAGGGAGATTACTTAGAGATGGAGATGGATGAACTGAATCTACACGAATGCATGTCAAATATGACAGCATTACTTAAACATATGAAAAGAAATAAAGTTACTCCTGAAGTGGCAAAGGTAATGCTACGCAATAATATAAGGACAATGAACAAAGTTGTGTTCTGATTTTTAGTAACATATTGTTTCTGATACCAAAACAACACAATTAAAACATGCATAGCAAACCAATCAGAAACTTACGTATCAATGTTCCTGTTTTTGTGTCAATATGGTAGTGACAATTGTTTCAGAATTTTGTAAACTTTTGGGCAAAATATAATCAAGAACTTTCAATTCTTTTCTTGATCTTCATCACACTGGACCTCTGTCTTCACTTCTCTGTCACACACATATATATAATACAGGGGAGTGACACCTTGTTATAATCATATCTTTATTTATTCTTTACAGGGTACAGTCCCTCATGAGTTGCCTGGCTATATGTCATACTTACAGAAGAAGTTATCTGGTCCTTCAACCAATCCTAATGTAAAGTTGTTCATCATTAAACTGATTATCAATGCTGAGGAGGTAGGTGGTAAATACACTGAAACATTTAAAATATAATCTGTTTTTGTATGAATTTGAAAACTTGTCAATTATTACATATCGATTATATATCATCATATGTGATGTCTGCTTAATATTCAGGTGTTCCGTCCGTATGCTAAATTCTGGTTGGCTCCTTTGATGGAGTGGATCCTTGGTGGTCAGACTGGTGGTGATGGCATTCATTACATGATAGGTGATATTGTCGTACTTATGTTGACATGGTCAGCAATTGCAAAACCTGAGGTATATATATGTTCATCTTTTCTCTCATTTTTGTATCAGCCTTGAGGAAACAAGTTTATTATGGTTGAAATGATATTCAAATCTATAGATAACATTACATACAATGTATGATCCAAGCATAATGTAGCTGCCCCAGTAACCAACGCAAAATACTGATGTAACCTTCACTTTATTTATGACGAACAATATTGAGAAGATTGTAACACCGTCAAAACTGTGAAATACAAGAGTATACGTTCAGAAAATAATAACATGAACTTGCGTATTCGTATTGTAATAAGTACCAGTGCTACTATGCAAATAGATAGGCAATGATATACAGCATAGTGCGCCACCTAGTGGCGA